TGGTGACGAAGTTGCTGTTGTGGCCGAGATTGCTGTTGGGCTTGCTGCTGACGTCGATGTGCGGCATTCTCATCGTATGGGTGCGCACGAATATATTCCAATGACTTGAGGATCTGTGGTGGAATTGGTGGTGGAGTTGGCAAGTGATTGCCTTGCGGTTGGAATCCATTCTCATCGGCCAAATACGAAAGCTGAATCAGTTCACCTTCTGGCGAGTAATAAGAGAAACCACCGCTAGCATGATGACCACCATAGCCCTCCTCTTGAGCGCTTATGCCATTCGAGGTTGAGTAATCCAATTTATAGCTGCCATCTTGACTTAGTTGGTTGTTGTGTTTGAGCGTTTCTGCATGAGCGCTTTGAGGATGCACCGCATGAGCGACGCAGGCCAATGAAGCGATGGTGGCAAAAAGGATCTGGGAAATTTGAGGAAAATACAATAAGTAACTTATTTTGAGCGAGTTCTTGTGTTGTACAATTGATTGATATTTACTTACGAATTTGTTCATTTTAAAGCTGTTTGATTGTATTTTTTGGGCAACTCTTCGGGGCGGAGTTGTTTGCTGTCGAAGACACTGGATTGATTTGATGTTGATTAGCTAAATCTGCACTAGTTTTATACGAGAGATCATTTGTCAACTGAAAGTCTGATTTAAAACGCTGTCAAGTTCGGCCTTTGTTATGTAGATACATCAGCGGTTAGAGGCTTCACTCACATTCACCAATTTTGGCTTAGAGGTTTGGTACTCAAAACTTGGCTTTCAATTAGACAATTGACCCGCATCTATGCGGCCAAATAATCAGCGAATTTGGATGTCAATAAAGGAAATTAACAAATGAAAGAAACTTAAAACTAATTAAAATAAGCAACGAGTGGCTAGCTTCCTTTGTTCGGTGTTATTAGTTTTGGTTTTTTATGAAAAGACATACACTTTGCTACAAAAGTGTTCACACAGCGACGCTGTTAAATTTATTTTCAATTGAATTTGCTGCGGAATGTATTCAAGTATGTAGGTATGTTAAGTTCCAGTTCTGGGTTATAAATTTTAATTAAATTAGCCCCTTCAATATGAAGAAAAATTTATCTTCCTTATATAGTCTTTAATTTCAAATCAATACTAATTTGTCATACTGTATTCAACACAAACGGAAGAAATTGATTTACATAAGTCTTGGAAATGTGGCAACTCTCTAATAAAATGCTTTCAAAATAATTTGGTGTAAATAAAGCTTACTTAAAACCTCTCTCGTTTGACACACATACTGAAATATATAATTTATCAATTAAAGCGATTTTGAATTTCTAAACAGGTGGTAACCCTTCATAAAAATATTTTCGAAATAAAGCTTTCTCAAACCTCTCTCGCTTAATGCACGCAGTAAAAAATTTTATTTAACTTGTTAATTAATTTTGTCTTGAACTCCTGAATAGGTAGGTGGCAGCCCTCTTCGCAAATGTTTTCAGAATAAAGTTTCTTTAACCTCTCTCGTTTGATATTCGTATTAATATATTTGATTTAAGTGGTTAATTAAATTGATTTATACTGAATAGGTGGCAACTCGCTTCAAAACTATTTTCAAAATAAATCGTTTTTGAGTACCGTTAGTTTAACACCCACATGCTACAAAATTGTATTTAACGTATTAAATGATTGATTTTAACCTTTGAAAAAGGTGGCCGCTCTCTTCAAAAAGTATTCCATATGCTTGTACAGATTTTAAACTATCTGTGTGCCGTGTGTTTTATATGGGAAAAACAACTTTTTTTTTAAATAAATGATTGGGTATTATTATTGGAAATCTCCTGAAGAGAAGCAAAGTTTTCCGATCGAAAAATATTTATTTTTAAGAATTCCATACCATTTCTACGAAAAGTGGGGTTTTACCATACAAAATACATGGAAAATGTTGATTGTTATGAGCGACCTCTAAATATTTTTTATTCCAAAATAAAAAAATAGGTGTACATTTTTTTCGTATAGAATCATCCTAGGGGTGAGAGCATTAAAATTCCAACTTTACTTATTTTGGACTACCCTAATGTACATAATAAATTTTTATTATTAATAATCTTACGCTTGACTACATACATATGTATATATATAGTAGATTTACCAAAATCTTCATTATTATAATCATGGATTTATAAAATTGTGTGTGAAAACTTGCACACATACATGCATGCATATGTATGTACCGCTCACATAACAAGAGTCATCGCCTTGCTGAACACCATCGCCGAAGGTGTGGTTGCGTTTCTTTCTTACCGCTATTTTCGCATTTTAAATTATTCATAAACAAATGTCAAATAATTCGACTTCATAAATAGCAAAATGATTTGTAGGTGTTCAAAATCACTAGCTAAAATAAAGGGTGTCTCAAAAATTTTGCTTACGTTTTAGAAATGGATATTTGCGAACAGATAACTTGTTTCCTTTCAAATGCGAATTTAGATCTACTGGATGCTATGTCAATGGATCGAGTAATAAAATTACAGTAGCCACCTGGGATTCGGCCCGTTGTGGTACCCCGTCAAGCACCCTTCTGTACAAATCATAATGTGGAGTAATCGTCATATCTTTATGACCGCCAAATCGCTCAGCTTTCCAATGGCCTGCTCCTTTTCAGTGCTGGACATTAGCAAAGTGGTTGCCTTACTAATTCTTCCTCGCAGCCGAAGAGATTTCTCCTCTGCTCAACATAAGCAGCTCCCTCGATCTTTTCACATACCGTTCCGGCCACGTAAGCATTACCGTGTTGCAGGTTTCTAGCTTTCGCCTGCTTCGGAGTAGAAGAATAGCTGCATATTGAACTTGCTTGACGGCGAAGTGGAAGGGAAGTGCCTTTTCTTGCAACCTCATCAGCCATCTCATTGTCGGGTATAAGTGCGGCTCGGCACAGATACCAGGTGAAGAGTGACCTGCTCTGCCGTCCAGTTAAGTTATCTGCAGCAACTCACTAAGGTTTCCAAGTTGCTAATAACTTTTACAAAAAAAATTGTAGGCCAAAATATAAAATAAAAATTGGCGAAAAAATCATAATTTTTAACTGGTATTACCAATCGCGAGAAAAGAAAGAGAATCCAAACCTTTTCAAAAAAAAGTTAATAGCTATGACTTCGTAAATAATTCGAATTTCGAAAAAAATTTCGAATTTATATTTCTTTATCATTGTGAACCAGAAAAAATATATTCCACTAAAAAGCTGGACCTTCAAAAAAAAAATACTGGTAAACTTTAATGATTTTGACTCAAATGTTTTCCCTCATTTGTTAATCATGAGTGCGCAGGCAATTATTGTTTCGAAAAAATTCAGCAGTACTAATATAAATCTAACCTCGGTCAACCGGCGGGGCATTAGGTCTAAAATCAAGGCTAATAGAGTGATGTCTGGGGAGTTGCCATATGGTATGACACAAAAATAGTTCTGAGTAGCTCTCCAATAGTTCTAGAGTTATTGAAAAGGAAAAAAAGTTCTGGACATTTTGACAAAAAAAATTGCTTTAAAAATTGTGTATGCCAGATTCTCGCAGCATACGACATGTAGCAAAAAGACAAATTAAAAATTTTTCGTAGTAGCTTTTCAATAGTTCTAGAGTTCCTGAATAGGGAAAAAAGTTCTGAAAAATTACGCCGAAAAAAAAAATCAAAAAAGTCTAAAAAATTTAATGTTAAAAAAAAAATTATAATTTGTAAGCAAAAACAAAAACAACTTCAATTCTCATATACAAATTTAAGAGTCAATTTCTTCTTCAGTTCTGCAAAATTACGCAGAAAAAAACATTTTTTTTTTCAAAGTCGAAAAAGTAAGTAAGGAAACTTTAACTGTTCTGAGTAGCGTTTCAAAAGTTCTAGAGTTCCTGAGAAGGAAAACATAGTTCTGCAAAATTATGCCGAACATTTTTTTTTTATAAATCCACAACAATAAAGTTTAGACGGTTGCCATGGTATCAAGCGTAATTTTGAAGAACTTTCTTTTTCCTTCTCAGAAACTCTAGAACTATTGAAGAGCTACTCAGAACAGCTTTAATTTTTATTTTTATTTTTTCAAAAATTTAACTCTTTCTTTCTTTCGACTATTTCGAAAAAAATGTTTTTTTCTGCGTAATTTTGTAGAACTCTCTTTTTCCTTCTAAGGACGTCTAGACTTATTGAAGAGCTACACAGAATTTTTATCTTTTTCAAACATTACACTTTTTCGACTTTTTAGAAAAAATTTTTTTTCGGCTAAATTTTGCAGAACTTTTTTTTTTCCTTTTCAAGAACTCTAGAACTACTGGAAAGGTACTCAGACAGATTTTTTTTGGCTTTTTGCGTCATATCGTATGCCAACTTCACAGACATAATAAAGTGGCTTAACCGAATGATCCTCTATTCGATTGTGTCGTAAGCATTCGTTATTTGGTTGCAGAAACGGCCATACTGTACCATTAAATTAAAAAAGTTGACTTGTCTCTCGCTCGGTGGATTAAAATGCGGCTTTAGAGTCGCTTCTAAGATCGAGCAACAGCAGCGTCTAAAAAGTCATATTTTATCTATAAGGAATCTTCATACAGGTATTCTTGAAAAGATACGTGGGTTGGAAATAGTATGTGGGCTTTCTGAGTCTGTAACCATGGAGATCGCCCTTGCCTGAAAGTTCTTGGGAAAATCCCAGATCTTTAAGACTGGACAAACCGTCGCTCATCTCTTAATCCCAGATATGGAAGGGAGTACACAGATGGTTCAATAATGGACCAAACTATCAATTCCAATGAGTAGATTACCCGCGGTGTTCCAGACTGAAGTAATAGCAAACTTAACCCACGCCAAATTAAACCTTTTTGCACTTAATTTCACGCAGCCAAGCGTGTTCTCCAATAGGCTGTTAAAATTCCAGCTTGTCAAAGTCTGCTTTGGTACCATTAGTTTGGCAGCGAGAAATATAAAAATCCCATTCGATCATTGTCTCAGCAAAAAAACTAACTTATAGATGTCTCGAAAGGGTTTATCCTTTCTGCTTACCAACAACGAATAAAGATTAAGAAATTTAAAACATTACTTGGATTTACTTGAGGAAAACTTATCTACGTTTATAAAGTTTTCGCTTAAAGTTATACATAGTTACAACAGGCGCTTTTTTTCAAAAATCATCAACACAAAAAAAAAACCGTTGGTCATTAAAACGCGACGAACAGCAAGTGATATCTTTCATAGATCCACATTTCAACTTATTCGCCAATTGACTTAGAACTTCTTATTAAACTGAAAGGAAGGTTGAGCCTGTCCGCTAGCACCTTTGCGATCCTCCTGCTGGGGATGCGTGCGAATGTATTCAAGTGACTTTAGAATAGCCTCTGGAATTGGTGGTGGCGTTGGTAAGTGTTCGCCAGCCGGATGGAAGCCATTCTCATCGGCAGTATAGCTCAGTTGAATGAGTTGTCCATCTGGCGCATAATAGGCGGCCGAGCCACTTGCATAATAACCGCCAACACCCGATTCGCCAGCAGCAATGCCATTCGACGTTTCATACTGATACTGATAGCTGCCATCCTCTTTCACTTCGCTCTTGAAATTACGCGTCTCTGCAGCGGCATCATATTGATCAGGACGCGCTTCTACGAAATTGTGGCAGCTGCAAAGTACAATGGCAAAGATGAGTGCGATTGCGAGTGGTGATGTGGTGGTCTGCAAATAATTGAGAGATGGCATTGTGTTTTATCCTTGAGAAAAATGAAAGTACCTATGTGTGTGTGTGGGTGTGTGTGGGTGTGTGTGGGTGTGTGGGTGTGTGTGTGGAACACTGGCTGTCACTTACTGTTTTATACATTGCGTTGTTGTTGTCCGGTGTTATTTGTTGCTGAATTGAATGCTTCTTTCTGCCTCGAGTGAGCACACGTGAATGCGTAAGTGTCCAAGTGTCCACTGATGCTTTTATAGTAGCGAATAGTTGACATCTGCTGCTTCATTTTGTAGTAATCCAGTGAGTAATGTAGTGAACCTGCCGGTACCTTTCAGGAGAAGAAATACGAGAATTGCCAAAAGTTGAATAAAATAAAATTAAAGCAAAAAAAAAAAAAAAATTGCACAGTGCCTTCCATTGTGGCTCATTTTAATTTCCTAAATTGCCTAAAATTTACATATTGGTGCTTCTTTTTTAATCTTCTTTATTGCTTATTTGCGAGTTAAAAATTGGTGAAATATTTTATATTTTTTTAGCTTAATTCAGTTAGTTTTCGAAGTTTATTTATTTTTTTGTTTAACAAGTGACACCTTCTCAATGTTGAGCTTTTAATTTGAACTCATAAAAAAGTGGTTCCTAAGCATAAATGTCGTGCGTGCAGCGAGCATCCCTTTAGGAAAAACTGACTATTTCAACCTTGCGCGAGCAGCTTTCTGGAAAAGAGGTGGTAAGTATGTATTTGGATCTATCTATTTTAATTCTTCAATCTCTTGCTTCCACAAAATATAAGACCGAATATATGTTTTTGGTGCACAAGTACTAATACGTATTGAAAATATCCTCTTAAAATTTTATCCTTTAATACCCCTGAAAATCTCCAATATTTGTTTTTGAAAAAATTATTATTTTTTTTCATTTGCCTTAAAAAAATTCTGACGTCAGAGAGAAAAACTAAAAACCCAGTTTTACTATATTTTATGCCTAGTAACGTACAATGGCGGTCAAAAATGATTTAATTTGGTTTCGTTTTTAATATTTTCATGCTAAGATATTGATATTTGATATTTCTTTATAAAAATATGGCTTATTCTTTAACAAAAACTGTATAAATCACACTTTTAAACTTTATACAGAATTTAGAAAAATTCTACAAATTTTTATATAAACTTCGAGCTTTTTCACCAGAATTTTAACAAACTTATAAAATTATAGTAAAAGGAGGGCAAGTTTTGAGTGGCTAAAAAGTCGCATTAATTTTTAATACTTTTTTTTTTTTGTTGACGGCGCACAGTGTTTCGACTATATGGGGGCAGGGCGTCTTGCACATTTTTCCATACAACCATGCATTTCTTGTGGAAGAATATGCGCAAGACCGTTTGTGAAAAAAAATAAAAAAAGTCAACGCCAGTTTTCCTATATTTCGTTTTTTATATGAAAAACCGCAAAAGCCGTCAGCAAAAAAAAAAAAAAAATTATCAAAAATCAATGCGATTTTTTAAGCGCTCAAACTTTACTAAAATTTAATAAGCCTGTTAACTGCATACCCGAAAAAATTTCTAAAAATTCTGGTAAAAAAGCTCGAAATTTAGATAAAAATTTGTGGAATTTTTCTAAATTCAGTATGAAGTTTACAAAAAAATATTAAAAAAATGTAGCTTTAAAAGCATTGTAAATATTAAAAACGAAACACCATTCATTCATTTTTGACCGCCACTGTAAATATACTGATTGTTTCGGGTTTTTTGAATTATTTTGTTTTATATTTTTTCGATGATATTTAATATTTTTTTAATGGTTTTCTTTTTTCCAGTAAGAATAATTACGATGCTTGGATTTAAAGTTTTTCGATAATTTTGTACCGTTATTTCAATTTTATTATTTTTCTAGTAACCTAAAAAAAAAAATCCGGAGCATTTTATGACGGTTCCCATTAGCAGCCATACGCAGCGTTAGTTTGTCAAAGGGCGTTTCTACATTTTAGATGCCTAACCTCGGCAGTACTTACAGTTGACCTGCTAATTGATTAAAATTAAATTTAACAAAGGGTTTAGTTATAAATATTTTTGAGCTAACTACACACATACATACGAGCAAAAGTTGCGTCGTTAGAGATTGCCGGCGGCACATTGCTTATTGAAATAAGGTGGGAAGGTGTGTACGAATGGCAAGTAATTTGTCTTCGCAGGGGAAAAATTATCTTACAATAAAATACATACATTTTTTATTTCTTTTAAAAGGTCAACTTATTAAAAACTAAAAATAAAAAAGTCCCAGTTTGGGCTAATTGATTTTTTTATACTCGTCGCACGAATCCGTAAAATATACAATTTTTCATTTATGCATTAAAACAAATATCTAAGTATGTGTATATTGGGGAGCCTTGCAAAAAATAGTTGCGGTTTTTCCACCGAAATTTATATTTTAAGGTTTCCGCTGAAATATTTCGGAAAAATTCTAAAATTTATGTTAGCTGGATCGATTTTAAAATACCCACAAAATCTCATTATTTTGTTACCCATGCTAAAATTTTAATGTAACCCTTTTAAAATCATCTGAGGTTATTTTTTAGAAAAATTACTTTGGAAACTAATAAAAATCTGAATTTGTGAGGTATTTCAAAATTGGTTTAGTTCAAGTAAATCTTAATATTTTAGCGAAATATTTTGGCGGTAGGCTTAAGAGGCAATTCTGGCTAAGATAGATGAAAATGTTTTGTAAGAAAATTGAAAGATTATATTGCCTTAGGTTGAAAGATTTGGTTTATTCTGGCACGAAAGTCTTACAAAAAAAAGCTCCACTGGCAATTCGCATGGTGAAAAGCCGAGTGAACAAAGCTTGGCATTCGAGAGATCCGAGATTGGGTCTGCGGGCAGCCAAATTGTTTTTTCAATAAATTTTTTTCTTTTTTAATTAAATTAAATTTAAATTTTTAGATTTTATAGTTAAAAAAAAATATGAATATCTGTTTTTTCAGTGACCATTTGATTCTGATTAAATAATCTTTTATTACACTAATATATAAACATGCCGACATTAAAAACGATTGTTTGAAAAATATGTTTTTATTTATTTTATTTTATTTTTTCAATTTAATGTTTAGATTTTATTCGTTTAAAAATATTTTTTTAAATTAAATTTAATTTTTATAAACTTTTGTTTCTTTCTTCTTTTTGGAAAAACATTTTTTGTTACTTTTTTATAAAATTTTTAGAGTTTATTGTTTGTTGTTTTTGTTAATTTCATTTAATTTTTAGGAACTTATTTAAGTTTTTCGTTTTTTGATTTATTTCTTTTTCTTTTAGTTTTTAAATTATATTATTTTAAAAACAAAAATATTTTTTGTCAAGTTCTTTAATTTTTAGGAATTTATTTCATTTTTCAATTATAGAATTGACAGTTGTCTTACGTTAGACTTTTGTATTTTGAAAGACTGTGTTGAGCTGAAAGACAGTTGTCAGAATAGCCCTGTTAAAATATAATAAATTGCGTAGTTCCAATGGTACAGGTACCGTTTTTTTAGTGTGCGAAGTGATGCACCCTAATGTACATAATATGCAGGTGATTTTAAAAATTTCATTTAAGGTTATACATATAGGATTTTTTACTAACTATTTATTATTTTCAATGCGAAAGATCTAACAAAGTAACTATACAAATTTTTCTCAAATTTTTATTTTATTTATTTTTTTTTAAGTCAAGCCTTCCACTAGAGAGTAATATTTATTGCACTAATCAACACTTCATACGATATGTCTAACTTAATTAAATTTGTCTTAAATTTAAAAATGATTTCAAAAGCTTAGGCCTCTAGCAAGAACAAAGGCTGCGTTAACACGCATCTACTTGTACCTTGTACAATAAAAAAAAACACACACAAACACATGAATTCATTTCAAAAGAAATCGAAAGTGATGTGTGTTTCTAAGTATTTATTATCTTAGTTTTTCTTTCTTCGCTTGCCATAGAGTGTAAAATATTAGCGATAGCAACAACTTCAACCGCCAAAGTCAAAGCATAACCGAATGGCCAATTTATGACAGAAATGAACAAATTGACACAAATGGAGCATCAATGATGGCAACACAAGCAGATGTCAAAGCAACAGCTGAAGAGACGATTGTTAAATGGCCTAAAAAGATGNAAAAAAAAAAAAAAAAAAAAAAAAAAAAAAAAAAAAAAAAAAAAAAAAAAAAAATTAACTAATTAGAGAGTGGCGCTTTTTGACGTTGGATATTCTGAAAAATGTAATCAATTATGCCAAAAATAACTTGGCGTCTTTTATTCATTCATCACTGTTAAGCATTTAACAAATTTAAATAATTACATAGATTTGCATAAATTGTTAATAAATAGCAGTAGATTAAATGAAAAGAAAGACAAAGTGACCAACTAAAATACCGATTAAGTGTTTGAGCGATGGAGCTATTATTAGTTACACATAATGCTTAAGTTTTGTATGTGTGTAAGATTTATGAGCTTACAATTAGGAGGCATACACTCATCTACATGCATACATACATACATATGTACATAAGTTTGTACATTCATATGTACTTCCTCACGGTGAATGGACGGACGGCCAGAGTGGTCAGGAAGATGACTTTGAATTCACGTTGACCTTGTTAGCCAGCCAAAAAGTAGTTCACTGTACAACTTCATATCACTCGCCTGCTTGCTCTCTTGGCTGTCACAAAAAATGCACACTAAGCGAGATTAATGCATCTCATTGAATTTAGGTCAGGTTTGCCGAAAGCGAAATTGCACCAAAAAATGGAAAAATTAAAAAAAAAAAAACAAACAGAGATGAATCAATTGTAGTGGAGTAGCAAAAGATGTGCCAGGAAAACAGGAAATACGTAACCGGCTATGGATACGTGCATGTCACAGCTTTGTGTGAGACGGAGAGAAAGAGAAAACGAGGAAACGAAGGCAAAAAAAGGAACCTGTACACCACGTATGCGCGTGGCAAGTGCAATATCCAGTTGTGGCATGCAGCATCACACTATGCCAGTAACCCAACGCACACGTACAAACATACTTTGCTTGCAGCGTTTTATGAGACGGATCGATGAGTTTTATCATTTCCTTTTTCGTGTCGTTGTTACCAAGTAGATGTACTGCTACTCGAACATTAGACCGTATCACAGATTTTGTTTTGAGCAAGTAAAAAAATATATATATAAAAATATCTTATTTATAACAAAAGAGTTGTGATACAAACCTGGTTTGGCTATTTTTACAGGGTGCCCAAAATA